CCAAATCCTAATAAAAAAAAAAAGATTACAGCCAAGAAAATCCTGTGGAGCTATGGAGTAATTCAACTTTGTCACATGCAGTCCCATGAGTCGGAATTGTTTCCATGGTAATAGGTTTGATTTTACATACACACACACACACACACACGTTGTTGTTGTTGTTGTTATGTGCCGTCAAGTCAGCCCCTACTCATAGCGACCCCTCCTTGGGTTTCAGAGGCAGTATCACTATGGAAGTAGGATTGCCCAACCTTCCTTCCGAGGAGTGTGTGTATGTGTGTATATATATCTCAACAACAACAACAACAAAAAAACAAACTCAGTACCATCGAGTCAGTTCCAACTCATAGCTACCCCTTCTTGGGTTTCCAAGGCAGTATCACTATGGAAGTAGATTGCCCAATCTTCCTTCCCAGGAGTGGCTGGTTGGTTTGAACCGCTAGCCTTCTGGTGAGCAGTCAAATGCCTTAGGCACTGCACTACCAGAGCTCCCATACATATATACGCATGAATGTATGTGTGTGTGTGTGTGTGTATACATATATGTATATATGTATGAATGTATGTGTGTGTATATATATATATGTATATATGTATGAATGTGTGTGTATGTGTGTATATATATATATATATATATATATATATATATATATATGTTGTTATTATGTGCTGTCTAGTCGGACCCCACTCATAGCGACCCCGCCTTGGGTTTCCGAGGCAGTATCACTACGGAAGTAGATTGCCCCATCTTCGAGCTTTTATATGTGTGTGTGTGTGTGTGTATATATATATATATATATATACACACATAGACACATGCAAACACATACACATATATCTGGTGACAGAGTAGATAAGGCATTTTTGCTGCTAACCAGAAGGTTGGTTGTTCAAACCCATCAGGAGCTTCACAGGAAGAAAATGAAGCAATCTACTTTAATCTACTTCGGTGAAGATTTACAACCTTGGAAACCCAATGCAGGTCACTGTGAGTAGGAATCCACCCAATAGCAGTGTACATATACATATAAAGCATTGGGCTGCTAACCAAAAAGTTGATAGTTCGAACCCACCAGCCGCTGTAAGGAAGAAAGATGAGGCAATCTGATTCTATAAAAATTTAAAGCCTGGGAAACCCTACAGGGCAATTCTGCTCTGTAATACAGGGTGTTCTGGTTACCTAGTGCACTCTGACAAGAATATACCACAAATAGGATGGCCTTAACAAACTGGAGTTTATTCTTACAGTTTGGAGGCTTTAAGTCCAAGTTCAAAGTGCCAGGCTCTAGGGGCTATGTGAAAGCCCCTCAAACTTGGGGTCCAGCTCTGCCTCCTGCTCCTGGCCCACTGGAGCAACAGGCATTTCTTCACTCAGATAGCTGCTGGCTGCTGAGGCTGAGAAACCTCAAGGTTGACAAGTAGAAAGGCACAGTCCTGATGTTACCAAACCACATGGCAGGTCATTAACTTAAGTCCATTTTAAGTCCCAAAGTCGGCAAAGCATAGCAGGCTGCTAAGCAACGACATGGCTACATGCAGGGTCCAAGCGTGCCTTAGGCTAGAGACCATTCCTGAGGCTTCTTATATACAGGAATCAGACCACATCCCAAAGGCAGCTACTCACCTGCTTGTGGTAGATCCCACCATGGAGTTGATTGCCAGTCTCATCATGGGGAATAACTACCACCGGCTGCCAAGCCACTCAACGAGGCTCAGCCAAGTTGACACACAAACATAACTACCACACAGAGTCACTATGAATTGGGATTGACTTGATCAAACCAAATCAAAACCACTGCCACCAAGTCCATCCCAACTCAGAGTGACCTAATAGGGCAGAGTAGAACTGCCCCCATAGGATTTCCTTGGCTGTAACCTTTACAGGAGGAGCTCTGGTGGCGTAGTGCCTAAGGCATTTGACTGCTAACCAGAAGGCTGGCTGTTCAAACCCACCAGCCACTCCCCGGAAGGAAGGTTGGGCCATCTACTTCTGTAGTGATACCACCTCAGAAACCCAAGGAGGGGTCGCTGTGAGTCGTGTCCACCTCCATGGCAGTGTGATGCATTGTTTTTTTTGTTGTAATCTTTACAGGAGAATATCTCCAGGTCTTTCTTTCTGGAACAGCTGGTGGGTTCAGATCACCAACCTTTGGTTAGCAGCCAAACATCTAACCATTGCCCTACCAGGGATCCTTTTAGTGAATGCTAATTTTGAGATGATGTGGCTTTATGTTTTCATTCCAGTATCTTAAAATGTGTCCCATTTAAATATGTGTGATTCAATATAGTCCTCTTAAACGAAAATAAATGGTAGCAGTTAGTCTGCTCTTCTGCATCTGTGTATCTTTGGAGAGATCAACTTGTTCTTTACTGTCTGAACACTTAGAAGACCAGGATCAGAATACAGTGCATACCTCCACAGCAGTGTGTGAACAATTCAGGCAAATGGGTAAGCAGTTTACTGAAACTTGAGAAAATGCTGCAAAGATGAATGCAAGTTTAAAAAACAATACATTTCCACTCAAGGTGGGTACACTTAGAAAATTTACTAAGTGGTACAGACTGATTCAGAAGGAAGGTTGGGGAATCTACTTCCATAATGATACCACCTCAGAAACCCAAGGAGGGGTAGCTATGAGTTGGATCCAATTCATTGCAGTTTTGCATTACAGACTGATTTGTGTTAAGCCATAAGTCTAGGGAATGGCTGTTATTAGGAGAGAGTGTGCTATCACTGAAAAGGAAAGCTCATCACTAAAAATTAACTATGTAGACATTTTGGTGAATATGTGACTTCAGTTAGTCAGTCTGTCATCTGGGACCTAATAATCCCTGGAGAGACTGACATATCAAATGTCTGAGAACCAGATGCCAGGGAGTGGCTTTAGCCACTCTGTGGCACCATTCCTGAGCTGTTGTTGTTAGGTGTCATCAAGTCATCTCTGACCGATAGTGACACTGTACAACAGAACAAAACACTGGTCCGGTGCCATCCTAATAATCCTTGCTATGCTTGAGGCCATCATTGCAGCCACTGTGTTAATCC